GGTGCCATCTCCTGCCTGCAAGCACAAATTCACAGACAACCCACAGGGCTCCTGTCTACTCAAAAGATTCCAAAATACTCTTCTTGGAGGTTCTATTAATTGGGACTGTGCAAATCATATCAGTTCATTTTTGGTATTGCTTCATTTCTCCTTTTTATAAACTCACATTTGGTTCATCTCATTTTCACATTGATTTGCTTGGGAACCCTTAGACTAGGTCCAAGCACTGGTCGTGGGTTGGGCGACCATCCAGTCATATGGAAGGCTTCCTGATCTGCTTGCGGTTCTCCTAGAAGCATTTAAGCAACTGTACACTGTGGGACGCAATGGACCTCCTGCCTGATGTCATGTGCAATAAGCTGCGATCAAATGCCATTTTCTTCTCTGACATTTGAATATGTTTCTATTTTTAACTATAGAGCTTTTATCACTGTAGCATTCTTGGTCTTCCTGAAGGACTTCCAGTGGGTGTTGTTGTTGTTTAGTCATTTAGTCGTGTCCGTCTCTTCGTGACCCCCTGGACCAGAGCATGTCAGGCCCTCCTGTCTTCCACTGCCTCCCGCAGTTTGGTCAAACTCATGTTTGTAGCTTCGAGAACACTGTCCCACCATCTCGTCCTCTGTCATCCCCTTCTCCTTGTGCCCTCCATCTTTCCCAACATCAGGGTCTTTTCCAGGGAGTCTTCTCTTCTCATGAGGTGGCCAAAGTCTTGGAGCCTCATCTTCAGGATCCGTCCTTCCAGTGAGCACTCAGGGTTGATTTCCTTCAGAATGGAGAGGTTTGATCTTCTTGCAGTCCATGGGACTCTCAAGAGTCTCCTCCAGCACCAGAATTCAAAAGCATCCATTCTTCGGCTATCCAGTGGGTGGGGTAGGATATAGTTTTGATAGTTATGTTGAAGAGTGATGCTTATGATGCAGTGTGTGCATTATACAGTAAGTCTAATGATTTTAAGGAAAACTCAACCTTTATAATCATGATAGGCAGTTCTGTGTTTCTAGGAAAAGGTGCTGGAACACCTCTCTCGTTCTCTTAGAATGGCAATGGCACCCACCTGAGAGGTGTCAGAACTGAGTTCTGGCAAGTTCATAGAATCATAGAGTTGGAAGAGACCACAAGGGCCATCGAGTCCAACCCCCTGCCAAGCAGGAAACACCATCAGAGCACTCCTGACATATGGTTGTCAAGCCTCTGCTTAAAGAACTCCAAAGAAGGAGACTCCACCACACTCCTGGGCAGCAAATTCCACTGTCGAACAGCTCTTACTGTCAGGAAGTTCTTCCTAATGTTTAGGTGGAATCTTCTTTCTTGTAGTTTGGATCCATTGCTCCGTGTCCGCTTCTCTGGAGCAGCAGAAAACAACCTTTCTCCCTCCTCTATGTGACATCCTTTTATATATTTGAACATGGCTATCATATCACCCCTTAACCTCCTCTTCTCCAGGCTAAACATGCCCAGCTCCCTTAGCCATTCCTCATAAGGCATCGTTTCCAGGCCTTTGACCATTTTGGTTGCCCTCCTCTGGACACGTTCCAGTTTGTCAGTGTCCTTCTTGAACTGTGGTGCCCAGAACTGGACACAGTACTCCAGGTGAGGTCTGACCAGAGCAGAATACAGTGGCACTATTACTTCCCTTGATCTAGATGCTATACTCCTATTGATGCGGCCTAGAATTGCATTGGCTTTTTTAGCTGCCACGTCACACTGTTGGCTCATGTCAAGTTTGTGGTCAACCAAGACTCCTAGATCCTTTTCACATGTACTGCTCTCAAGCCAGGTGTCCCCCATCTTGTATTTGTGCCTCTCATTTTTTTTGCCCAAGTGCAATACTTGACATTTCTCCCTGTTAAAATTCATCTTGCTTGTTTTGGCCCAGTTTTTTAATCTGTCAAGGTCGTTTTGAAGTGTGATCCTGTCCTCTGGGGTGTTAGCCACCCCTCCCAGTTTGGTGTCATCTGCAAATTTGATCAGGATGCCCTTGAGTCCATCATCCAAGTCGTTGATAAAGATGTTGAATAAGACCGGGCCCAAGACAGAACCCTGTGGCACCCCACTAGTCACTCTTCTCCAGGATGAAGAGGAACCATTGATGAGCACCTTTTGGGTTCGGTCAGTCAGCCAGTTACAAATCCACTGAGTTCTAGCTGGAAAAATAGCCCGTATTTATTGAAGTAAAGCAATGACAAACCTAGACAGCATCTTAAAAAGCAGAGACATCACCTTGCTGACAAAGGTCCGTATAGTTAAAGCTGTGGTTTTCCCAGAAGTGATGTATGGAAGCGAGAGCAGTGTTCTCGAGCTACAAACATGAGGGAGGAGGGCCTGGGGTGCTCTGGTCCATGTGGTCACGAAGAAGCGGACACGACTAAACGACTAAACAACAACAACAATTTATTGAATTACTAGTTGATTCACACAGTATTATTTATTAAAGCATTATATTCTAGTATTTGCACATTTTATACTGAGCTCTATTTTTTTATCTTGGCGGTATTACTCTGGATTTGAAGTGCCTGCCCGTCCAGCAATTTTAGTGAGATCTTTGGATTTAAAATAGGAGAAATTTCTGGCAGGCCTTTTAAAGAAAAAGCTTTGAAGTTCAAATAGTGTGTAGTTTTCAATGTCTTTTATTCCTGTTTATGGGCTGCACAGCTTTGAATTGTTTTAAAATTTCTCTTCTGGGGGAAAATAATAATTTGCACTGCTTTAAAATCTGGTCCAAATCAATTACAAATTAGCCTCTATGCAGGTGATGTAGATCTAATATTGGAAGAGCCAGGAATATTAGTACCACCACTGAAAATTTTGGGGGCATTTAGAACAGGTTTCTGGCTGTAAAATTAATCAGAATGGCTATACAGTGGTACCTTGGTTTAAGAACAGCTTAGTTTATGAACGGCTTGCATTAAGAACGCTCCAAACCCGGAACAAGGTGTTTTGGTTTGTGAACTTTGCCTTGGAAGCAGAACATGTTCTGCTTCCTGTTGAGTGTAAATTGAGTCCCCCGTTGCTATGGGGGGGGGGGTGTTGCTATACCTTGGTTTAAGAACGCTTTGGTTTAAGAATGGACTTCCGAAACGGATTAAGTTCGTAAACCAAGGTACCACTGTGCTGTATACAACAAATGTGGCATCTCCAAGGATACGCCCATTAAAAAATAGGTATATGGGTAATTAAGCCCTCTGGACGACGTGACATCTTGTAATCTACCCTGAGAGGTTAAAATGGATATGAAGAAGTCTTAAAACATTTCAGTAACTGAGAGGAACTTGCTTCCATGCACTTTATATTACTTTTTAAATTATACCTTTGGAAGTGAATAACTCCTTGCTTACCTCTACTATGCGTCCAGTAGCCTAGAAAAACAATTTAGCCTTAAAAACCAGGACAACCTTTGCTGGAACACCTTGGCAGTTGCAAAACGTTCGTTGATCCTACCAGCACTCCTGACCATTCTAACGGGGATGGAATTATTTAACGTTACATAAACTGGTGAAAAATTGTAATTGTATTCAGGTTACTGTGAAAAAGGGCTGTATTTTAAACACTGATCATAGGATTTGGTAAGGTCTAGTGTTTTTTCATTGCAAAGGTAGGGGGTGAGTTAACCCCAAGGGCTTAGTCTTAAGTTCCTGGATAGAATTTGAAAGTGTTTGCACACGGTTTCAACTGGCTTGCTAAACCCTCTGTGATTTAGGGCTTGCCCTGCATGCAAAAACAGGCTCTGGCGAACTGAGTGGACCAGACCAAGCGTGGCTCCAGCAGTTGAGAAGGCGGTTTCCACACATGCTGTAGAGGGAAGTTGAAAGGCTCCTTTGCCTCTGTGATATTGATTGACTACTTCCTCTAATGTTGTATCGACTGAATGTTATCCTTTGTGAATCCACTGTACATTTCCCACTTAAGAACTGTGAAATAATGCCTGTTACCAATATTTTGTTAGGCAAAAAGCTGCTAATAACATTGTCCATGGTTCTGCCCCAGGGAAACAGCTTTGGTGCTACCAATGCAGCGGTTAGACTTCACTCCTCGAGGGGCACGCCATGGTCTCTCGAGACAGATGGATGCCAACTGAGGATGCCAATAGCAATAAAATACGCCAATGAACTAACTTTTAGAGTCTTAAGAGACGAAGAATGCACATATACACCTCGTCTCTTTGTCTTAGTGTTAGCTCCTTGGAGCCAACCAACTTGAAGCAAGCTTTAAAAAAGGAGATACGTCTACGTTTTATTTTCCTTTTCTCTCTCTCTTGTTGGTCTATCTTTGTTCTTTCTAATTCCTTTTTCTACCTTGCAGTTTTGTAAGCTTTTTTCATGTATATTTTTGTGTTTTTAATTTCATAATTCATTTAAATGTATTTATATGTATGTAGAAATTGAATTAAAATAAAGGACAAAAAGGCAGGTAGAATTACCAGCTGTGCCTTACACTATGACCAGCAATGTATGAACAAATTTATGTAGCTGACATCATGTATCTTTTGCTGGTTTTGTAATGTTTGAAACCTAAGTTTTTTTAAGTAAAGCTTTGAAAACCATATTTGGGATTGAAGAGTTTTATTTCCACACAAAAGTCAGCAGAGATTAAAAAACAACAACAACCCTCCATTTGCTTCAACACTCTCAATACATTTGCCATGTTGGCAGCTGGAAGCAGGAGTCCAGCGACATCGGAAGGAGGGCATATTCCCCAAAGGTTTGGAGGCTGGAGCGCCATGGAATGAGGTTCGGCCACAGAGTGGCCCCTAAGTCTCAGGTTGCCTGCCTGTGTCATCCGGGGCCACCCCTGCCTTTGGCTACGGAGAACGGTGCCCAGTTAGTGGCCTTAGTCTGCAGATCGGGGCCAGAGAGTGGGGCATACGTGGCCCCCCAGTCCTCTCCATCACCTTACTGAGCTTGGGAGTGTTGAGGGGCTCCCCACACCAGCCACCCTCCCTGACTGTGTGCCACGCTGGCTGCTGGGGATGGTGGCCGTTGGGAGTCCGGGAACGCCCAGAGGGCAGCATGTTACACAACACACCAGACAAAACCAAATAAAAAAATTCATTCCAGTATCACCTTAAAGGGACCCCTGACCATTAGGTCCAGTCGTGGCTGACCCTGGGGTTGCGGCGCTCATCTCGCTTTATTGGCCGAGGGAGCCGGTGTACAGCTTCCGGGTCATGTGGCCAGCAGGACTAAGCTGCTTCTGGCAAACCAGAGCAGCGCTATCCCCCCAAATAGAATGCCTGGGTTCAACCCCCCCCACTTGGCCATCATGAAGCTCCCAGGAGGTCACCCACACCCGGTATGGTTCTTAACCCGAGATACCACTGTAGTTGCATGAAGTGGGAAATGTGGTGGGGGTGGCAGGAGGTAGGTGGGCAGAGCCAGCCCCTAGGACGCACATAACTTCGCAAAGTCATCCCCCCAAATAGAATGCCTGGGTTCAACCCCCCCCCCCCCCACTTGGCCATCACGAAGCTCACAGGAG